CGACTTGAAATTCTAGCCAAGGAATCTCTTTCTATGGATATACTCGAAACAAGGACTAGATTGTGTAATGATGATACTAAAAAAGAATACGTGCCTAAAATGTATGATCCTTTGTTAAATGGACCATATCGAGGAACAATAAAAAAAGGGGTTTCATCTTCAATCATAAACAATACTTTGCTAGAAAATTGGGAAAAGAGAGTTAGACTAAATAGGATTCATACTATCTTTCTTCCGAATATGGATTACCAAGAATTTGAACAAAAAGCGTATACGATTGATAAAAAACCATTATCAACAGAAATTGACGAGTTCTTAACTTTAATCAATGAATTAGGTAACGAACCAAAATCTAGTTTAAATTTGAAGGGTCTTTCTTTATTTTCAGACCAAGAACAGAGAAGAGTGAATTCAGAAAAAAGAACGAAATTTGTAAAATTTGTATTCAATGCAATTGATCCTAATGAGACAAAATCGGGAAAAAAATCGATTGGAATAAAAGAAATCAGTAAAAAAGTACCTCGCTGGTCCCATAAATTAATCACCGAATTGGACCAACAAATGGGTGAATTTCAAGATCGCGCATCAATTGATCATCAACTTCGTTCAAGAAAAGCCAAACGTGTAGTTATTTTTACTGACAACAACGCGACTAACGATCCTGAGGAGGAAGTGGCTTTAATAAGCTATTCGCAACAATCAGATTTTCGGCGAGGTATAATTAAAGGCTCTATGCGGGCTCAAAGGCGCAAAACATTTATTTCGAAACTATTTCAAGCAAATGTACATTCCCCCCTTTTTGTCGACAGAATAACCCCCCTACGTCTTTTTTCTTTTGATATCTCTGAACTAATTAAACCAATTTTTCGAAATTGGACAGGTAAAGAGGGAGAATTCAAGATTCTAGAGTCTAGAGAAGAACAAACAAAAAGAGAAGAGAAAAAAGAAAAGGACAAAAAAGAGGATAACAAAAGAAAGGAACAAGCACGGATAGCGATCGAAGAAGCCTGGGATAACATTCCTTTTGCACAAATAATAAGAGGTTACATGTTAATAACTCAATCAATTCTTCGAAAATATATTCTATTACCTTCATTGATAATAGCCAAAAATCTCGGGCGTATGTTATTCTTGCAACTTCCTGAATGGTCTGAAGATTTGCAGGAATGGAATAGAGAAATGCAGATTAAATGTACTTATAATGGTGTTCAATTATCAGAAACAGAATTTCCCAAAGATTGGTTGAGAGACGGGATTCAGATCAAAATTTTATTTCCTTTTTGTCTGAAACCTTGGCATATATCTAAACTGTACCCCTCCCGCGGAGAGCTAATGAAAAAGCAAAAACAAAAAGATGATTTTTGTTTTTTAACAGTTTGGGGAATGGAAGCTGAACTTCCCTTTGGTTCTCCCCGAAAGCGCCCTTCCTTTTTTGAGCCCATTTTTAAGGAACTCGAAAAAAAAATTGGAAAATTAAAAAAGAAATATTTTCTAACTCTAAAAATTTTCAAAGGAAAAACAAAATTATTTAGAAGAGTTTCAAAAGAAACCAAAAAATGGTTTATCAAAAGTATTGGATTTCTAAAAAAAATAAAAAAAGAACTTTCAAAAGTAAATCCAATTGTATTATTTAGATTCAAAGAAATATCGGAATCCAATGAAACAAAAAAAGAAAAAGATTATCTAATTAGTAATCAAATAATTAACGAATCATTTAGTCAAATTGAATCTGGAAATTGGCCAAATTCTTCACTGATAGAAACAAAAATGAAGGATTTGACTGATAGAACAAGTACAATCAAAAATCAAATAGAAAGAATTACAAAAGATAAAAAGAAAGTAACTCCAGAAATAGACATTAATCCTAATAAAACAAATAATATTAAAAAACTCGAATCGCCAAAAAAATTTTTCCAAATATTACAAAGAAGAAATACTCGAGTAATATGGAAATTCCATTATTTTCTCAAATTATTCATTCAAAGATTATACATCGATCTATTTTTATCTATCATTAATATTCCTAGAATTACTACACAACTCTTTCTTGAATCAACAAACAAATTGATTGAGAAATTCATCTCCAATAATGAAATAAATCAAGAAAAAATTACTAATAAAAAAAAAATTCACTTTATCTTTATTTCGACTATAAAAAAGTCACTTTATAATATTAGTAAGAAAAATTCACATATTTTTTGTGATTTATCCTACTTGTCACAAGCATATGTATTTTACAAATTATCACAAACCCAAGTTATTAATTTGTCTAAATTTAGATCTGTTCTTCAATATAACACAACGTCTTGCTTCCTTAAGACTAAAATAAAGAACTATTTTAAAACACTAGGAATATTTCATTCGGAATTAAAACATAAGAAACTTCAGAGTTATAGAATCAATCAATGGAAAAACTGGTTAAGATGGCATTATCAATACGATTTATCTCAGATTAGATGGTCTAGATTAATGCCAAAAAAATGGCGAACTAAGGTTAATCAAAGTTGTATGGCTCAAAATCAAAATAGAAACTTAAACAAATGGAATTCATATGAAAAAGACCAATTAATTCATTACAAAAAAGAAAATGATTCGGAACTCTATTCATTATCAAACCAAAAAGATAATTTTAAAAAATGTTATAGATATGGTCTTTTAGCATATAAATCAATTAATTATGAAAATAAAAGTGACTCATTTTTTTCTAGATTACCCTTTCAAGTAAAGAAGAACTTAGAAATTTCGTATAATTCCAACACGTCCAAACACAACTTTGTTGATATGCCCGGCAATCTTCATATCAATAATTATCTAAGAAAGGTCAATATTCTAGATATAGAAAGAAATCTCGATAGAAAATATTTTGATTGGAAAATTATCCATTTTTCTCTTAGACAAAAAGGAGATATTGAAGCCTGGGTTAAGATCGATACCAACAGTAATCCAAATACTAAAATTGGTATTAATAATTATCAAATAATTGATAAAATTGAGAAAAAAGGGGTTTTTTATCTTACAACTCATCAAAATCCAGAAAAAACTCAAAAAAATTCGAAAAAAGTCTTTTTTGATTGGATGGGAATGAATGAAAAAATATTTAATCGTCCCATATTGAATCTGGAATTTTGGTTCTTCCCAGAATTTGTACTACTTTATAATGTCTATAAAATAAAACCGTGGATTATACCAAGCAAATTCCTTCTTTTTAATTTGAATACAAATGAAAATGTTATTCAAAATAAAAACCAAAAACAAAACTTTTTTCTACCATCAAATAAAAAAATAAAGAATCGAAGTCAAGAAACAAAAGAACCCCCAAGTCAAAGAGAGCGTGGATCAGATATAGAAAACAAAGGAAATCTGAGCCCTGTTTTTTCAAAACATCAAACCGATCTTGAAAAAGATTACGTGGAATCAGACACAAAAAAGGGTCAAAATAAAAAACAATACAAAAGCAACACGGAAGCAGAACTAGATTTGTTCTTGAAACGTTATTTGCTTTTTCAATTGAGATGGAACGATGCTTTGAATAAAAGAATGCTCGAAAATATCAAGGTATATTGTCTCCTGCTTCGACTGATAAATCCAACCAAAATTACTATATCGTCAATTCAAAGGAGAGAAATGAGTTTGGATATAATGCTGATTCAGGCAAATTTACCTCTTACAGACTTGATGAAGAAGGGGGTATTGATTATCGAACCTATTCGGTTGTCTGTAAAACATAATGGACAATTTATTATGTATCAAACCATAGGTATTTCATTGGTTCATAAAAGTAAACACCAAACTAATCAAAGATACCGAGAACAAAGATATGTTGATAAAAAGAATTTTGACGAATTCATTCTGCAACCTCAAACTCAAAGAATAAATACAGAAAAAACTCATTTTGATTTGCTTGTTCCTGAAAATATTTTATGGTCTAGACGTCGTAGAGAATTGAGAATTCGAAGTTTTTTTAATTCTTTGAATTGGAATGTCGTCGATAGAAATTCAGTATTTTGCAACGAAACCAATGTAAAAAACTGGAGTCAATTTTTGGGTGAACGGAAACCCCTTTATAAAGATAAAAATAAATTAATTAAATTTAAGTTCTTTCTTTGGCCTAATTATCGATTAGAAGATTTAGCTTGTATGAATCGTTATTGGTTTGATACCAATAATGGTAGCCGTTTCAGTATCTTAAGGATACATATGTATCCACGATTGAAAATTAATTGATAGTACTATATACCCTGTCTCGTATAGAGTATCTGAAAGCAAACAAATGCAAACATGCCTTGTTTTACATCTCATTCGAATCTAATTCGAGTAGACAATACTAAATCAATAAAATAAGGTATTGATTAGATCTAGAAATGAATCAACAGAATCTTCTTCATTTTAGGATTTTAGGTTTCAATTATTCGCTTTTGTGACTGAAAAAAACGTACCTACCACCTTTTTGGATTCCTATCTGAATCAAATTTGAAATTTGATTAATTTATTGGAATTGCTAAAATTAGAGGTTCATAAAGAAATTAAGTCTATATACCACGTTCAAATTACTGGCATTATTATTACTGATCAATAAAATTCTAAAAAATCCATATCTGTAAAATAAAGAAAGGGGAAATTCATTTATGGTAAAAAATTCTGTCATTTCAGTTATTTTTCAAAAAGAAAAGAAAGGATCTGTTGAATTTCAAGTATTCAATTTCACCAATAAGATACGGAGACTTACTTCACATTTAGAATTGCACAAAAAAGACTATTTATCTCAGAGAGGTTTGAAGAAAATTTTGGGAAAACGTCAACGACTGCTAGCTTATTTGGCAAAAAAAAATAGAGTACGTTATAAAGAATTAATTAATCAGTTGGACATTCGAGAGACAAAAACTCGTTAATTTGATTAATTTGAAGAGTTATTTCATTTTCACTTATATGTTTCGATTAAATTTTGATGAACTTCTTTTCACTTTCAGTAATTCATGGAAGAATGAATCGTTAAAAAACTTATGACTGCACCAACTACAAGAAAAGACCTCATGATAGTCAATATGGGGCCTCAGCACCCATCAATGCACGGTGTTCTTCGACTCATCGTTACTCTAGATGGTGAAGATGTTGTCGACTGCGAACCAATATTGGGTTATTTACATAGAGGGATGGAGAAAATTGCGGAAAACCGAACAATTATACAATATTTGCCTTATGTAACACGTTGGGATTATTTAGCTACTATGTTCACAGAAGCAATAACCATAAATGGACCCGAACAATTAGGCAATATTCAAGTACCTAAAAGGGCTAGCTATATCAGAGTCATTATGTTGGAGTTGAGTCGGATAGCTTCTCATTTGTTATGGCTCGGTCCTTTTATGGCGGATATTGGTGCACAGACCCCTTTCTTCTATATTTTTCGAGAAAGAGAATTGATATATGACCTATTCGAAGCTGCCACCGGTATGCGAATGATGCATAATTATTTTCGTATTGGAGGAGTGGCTGCCGATCTACCCTATGGCTGGATAGATAAATGTTTGGATTTTTGCGATTATTTTTTAACAGGGGTTGCTGAGTATCAAAAACTTATTACCCGGAATCCTATTTTTTTAGAACGAGTTGAAGGCGTAGGCATTATTGGGAGAGACGAGGCAGTAAATTGGGGTTTATCGGGACCAATGCTACGAGCTTCCGGAATAGAATGGGATCTTCGTAAAGTTGATCATTATGAGTCTTACGACGAATTTGATTGGCAGGTTCAATGGCAACGAGAAGGGGATTCATTAGCTCGTTATTTAGTACGAATCGGTGAAATGACAGAATCCATAAAGATTATTCAACAGGCTCTAGAAGGAATTCCAGGAGGGCCTTACGAAAATTTAGAAATGCGACGTTTTGACAGATTAAAAGATCCTGAATGGAATGATTTTGAATATCGGTTTATTAGTAAAAAGCCTTCTCCAACTTTTGAATTGTCGAAACAAGAACTTTATGTGAGAGTTGAAGCCCCAAAAGGAGAATTGGGGATTTTTCTGATAGGAGACCAGAGCGTTTTTCCTTGGAGATGGAAAATTCGCCCACCAGGTTTTATCAATTTGCAAATTCTTCCTCAGTTAGTTAAAAGAATGAAATTGGCTGATATTATGACAATACTAGGTAGCATAGATATCATTATGGGAGAAGTTGATCGTTGAAATGATAATTGATACAACAGAAATAGAGACTATCAATTCTTTTTCCAAATTGGAATCCTTAAAAGAAGTCTATGGGATCATATGGATGCTTGTCCCTATTGTGACTCTTGTATTAGGAATCACAATAGGTGTACTAGTAATTGTTTGGTTAGAAAGAGAAATATCTGCAGGAAT